GAATCTTCATTTCCTTGACACTGAGATGCAATCCACACCGAAGGCTGCATTTCTTGATCTTCTGCAAGGGCTTCAAGTCTTCCTCACAAACAAAGTTGTGTCATTTACATATTGCACATCTGCATATCTGATGCGTCTCCCTCCAATCCTGATGCCACATTCCTCTTCATAGCATCCAGCTTCTAGAATAATTTGCTTAGCATACAGATTAAATAGATATGGTGAGAGAATACAACCCTGGTGTACTCCCTTCTCAATTTTAAACCATGCAGTGTTCTCCTGCTCTGTTTGCACAACAGCCTCTTAGTCCAGGTCTAGGTTTGTATGAGCAAAATTAAGTGCTCTGGGATTCCATTCTTCTCAAGTGGGACTCCCATTCTTCTCACTGTTAGCCACAACTTGTTATGATCCACACAGTCAAATGACTTCACAAAGTCAGTAAAGCACAGATAGACATTCTTCTGGTATTTTTTATTTTCAGCCAGGTTCCATCTCACATCTTCTTCTAACTCTTACTGGAACTTCTGGAAGTTTCCTATCTGTGTACTGTTTCAGCTGTTTTTAAATGATCTTCAGCAGTACTTTCCTTGCATGTGATATTAATATTATTGTTCGATAGTTTGCACATTCAATTGGATCACCTTTCTTGGGAATGTGAACAAATATAGATCTCTTCCAATTTCCCTGCCATAGACTAGTGAGCGCATCCAAGGCTGTATCAGTAAATTGAAATAAGTCAATTGGTATCCCATTAATTCCTGGGGCTTTCATTTTTGCCAATTCCTTCAATGCAGCTTCACTTCCTCCTTCATTACCATTGATTCCTGTTCATATGGTACTTCCTGAAATTTTTCAGTGTTAATCAGTTCTTTCTGGGACAATGATTTTGTGTATTCTCTCCATCTTCTTTTGATGCTTTCTGGGTCATTCAATATATTGCCCATAGCATCTTTCAATATTACAACTTGAGGCTTAAATTTATTTTTCATTTCTCTCAGCTTGAGAAATGCAGAAGAAGTTCTTCCCATTTTATTCTCCAATTCCAGCTCTCTGTAAGTTCCCATTATAATACTTTGCTTTGTCTTCCCAAGCTGCCCTTTGAATCTTCTGTTCAGATCTTTTACTTCAGCATATTTTCCTTTTGTTTGGCTTCTTGTAGCTCCAGTGCAGTTTTCAAGTTCTATCCTAAAATATAATGTTGTGAGTGATAGGATAATATCCATATACAAATAAGAAAGTCTCGTTAATACGACTTGTTATTGTTGTTAAGTGCCATTGAGTCGCAGACAACTCATAGCAACCCTGTTAATGAAAGACCTGAACATTTGTATAACTTTCATAGTTTCTCTAAGTTCATAGAGTTTCTGGAGGCAAGTTATTTATGTAGTGGATGCCATTCCTGCTTCCAAGCCTATTTTAATCGGGGAGCTCCATTAAACACCATGGGTAACATGTAAAGGAGTATAATTTCATCATATTTTTCCTTAAATTTGTAAAAAAAAATTAAGCAGCAAGGATTCCCCCTCCCCCATGCCCTTTACAACACTTTGGGGCTCAGTTTCTGGTGACATTATTCTTGATGAAAAGTCTGTGGCTTAATAGACTCTCTCAGAACTCAGCAGTCTAAAATACAGCCAAGAGTTACTTACTGATCTGTAGAGATAAATAAAAAAATGTGGAAAACAGACAAACTGAGAAATATTCAAGATGTGTGGTTGTGGAAGGAAGGGAAAGATGAGCACAAATAACAAAACAGATATAATACCTTATGCCCAGGTTTGGAAAGAAAGCAGTTTTATTATTCAAATATGTGCTCCTACATTTGGAGCCAAAGAGGAAGAAATTGAGAATTTTTACCAAATCTTGAAATTGACCGAACATGCAATCAAGATGCATTAATCATAATTGGTGACTGGAATACAAAAGTTGGAAACAGTAAAGAAGGTATAGTAGTTTGAAAATACGGGCTCAGTGATAGAAATGAGGCTGAAAAAAGAATAATTGAATTTTGTATTTATGGTGATTTTTTTTCATTTCAAATATCTTTTTTAAAAGATACAAGTGATGAGTATAACATGCATCTCACCTGATGGGCTTAATATGAATCAGATTGACTACATTTGTGGAAGAAATCATTGGAGAAGCTCAATATTGGCAGTCAAAACTAGGGCAGGGATGGTCTGTGGGTCAGACTATCAAGTACTTATATGCAAGTTCAAATAGAGGCCAAAGAAAATGAAAATAAGTCCACAAGAACCTAGATATGATCTTGAATCAATTCCATCTGAATTTCAAGATCATCTTAGGAATAGGTTTGAGGCATTGAACACCTGTGATCGAAGACCAGATGAATTGTGGGATGATATCATCCATGATGAAAGCAAAAGGTCATTACAAAAACAGAGGGGTCACAAAAAGTTTTAAATGGATGTCAGAAGAGACTCTAAAAATTGCACTGGAGCATTGCAAAGCCAAAACAAAATTATGCATTATAGATCCTAAAATTGTTCATTAACTTGTCAAAGCAGACAAAGACATTTAAAAGTTCTTAGTGCTTAGAGAATCTTTTCATTGCCCTTAACTCTGAAAGAACTCATCACTGAACTCTTTATTGGGTTTCTGAGAAACCACTGGTATATTTGAATTGCTTTGCGTTAGCAGTGCTGTGTTCCGATAGTTTTCCATTTGTTGAATAGATGTTATAATATTTCATTCATAAAATTAAATGGCCTTTGTGTTAGCAGTTATGGAGTAGTAACTTAAAAACAACAGTGGTTCTAAGAATGGCAAGTAGTTTTAATCATCTGTGCTAAATTGAAAAACAAACAAAAACCCCTTGTGCCCATTGCTATGTTGTGTTGTGTCTTCCTCAGTTTCAGCAAGCAGGGTTGTGTCATTTCCAAGAAGACAAAGATTCTCACCACTGGACCAATTGGCAGCATCAGGATGGATAGTGAAGAGATTGAGAGTGTTCACAACTTTAGTTTGCTTGACTCCATAGTCAACACTCTTGGCACCAGTAGCCAGGAAATTTAAAAGAGTATTGCAATGGCAAAGTCTGCTGTTAGGGACCTCTCCAAAGTACTAAAGAGCAATGGTGTCTCTCTGGAGACTAAGGTGCATCTGATACAGGCCATGGTCTTTACTATCACTTGTTATGCATCAGAGAGTTGGACAATGACTAAGGAGGATAGAAGGAGAATTGATGCCTTTGAGCTGTGGTGCTGGAGAAGAGTATTGAGGGTACCATGGACTGCTAGGAAAACAAACAGATTTGTCCTGGAAAGGGTTAAACCGGGTGGCTCCTTGGAGGCAAGGATTCTGAGGCTCCATCTAACATACTTTGGACATGTTGGAGAGACTGGTCCTTGGAGAGGGACATAATGCTTGGGAGGGTGAAGGGAAGGCCCTCTATGAGGTGGAATGATTCAGTGACTGGGGTAATCGGGATGGGAGTGTCAGAGACAGTGCAATTGGCACAGGACAGAGCAGAATTTAGGGCTGTTGTACATAGGGTCGCTATGAGTTGCAAGAGACTCGACGGCACATAACAACAACAGCAACAAGAACCCATTGCTAGTTATTTAATTCTGATTCATAGTGTCCCCTGTTGGTCAGGGCAGCACTGCCCATAGAGTTTACAAGGTTTAGGTATCTTTTTGGAAGTAAACTGCCATGAAGCAGGATGGGAACTACCGACCTTTGGCTCAGTAATTGAGCAGTTAACCACTAGGGCTCCTTGTGCAAGAACTAAGTCCAATCACTTGGTATCAACTGCCTAGAATGCTGTTTAGAAGAATTTTGAAGATGTAGCTGAGGCAATGAAAAAAAAATGCAGTGATTATTTAATTACAAATTGTAGGTGTAAAGAGGCTCAATCGATGTGCATCTATAGGATTGTCATGACAATGAAATGGATTAATACATAACAAATGCTTAGAACAGAGTCTAACACAATGTTGACAATATTAGGCATTGTTAGCTACTATTTATCAAATAAATAAAGAAGTACAAATCCCAAAAAGGGAGTCCAATCTACTTATTTGAATTTTTTGTTTTATATTGTAAATGTTTATGAATAGGAGGATAACTTAGGTATCCTTAACTATTTCCTAGAATTTTTGGTACACGGTAAAACCTGATGAAAACTTGAAGATCATTTGTTTTGGTAGCCTAGTGGTAAAGAGCTATGGTGCTAACTCAAAGGCATGTGGTTCGACTGTTCAGGAGGGAGAAAGATGGGTGGTCTCCTTCCATGCTGTTTACTGCTTCTGAAAACCTGCTGGAGGTCAACTATGAGTTGATTCTGACTTGATGGTACACAACAACAACAGCAGCATCTTAGATGTAATGTTGAATTTAGGGCACTGTCAGATGAATAAAATTAGAGTAACTGGTAGCTAAGCAAACTTGGCTTTATAAAAATGGTTCAACTCTAATACATTATAAGATAGAAGTGCAACAGTGAAGTAGCAATTACATCATTTATCTGTGGATCAGATATAAATTATACTTTCTTAGAGATCTCTTTGTTTAGTTTAACATCCATTTCATATGGTTTGCAAATAATTTGTTTAAATGACATTTTTCACATCTTGGTTTATCCTATGAATTTGTTTTTTTAAATTTTTTTTTATTGGGAAAAACATATTGGGGGTACAAGGAGGTGAGAGTTGGGAACAGAAGGGTGAGAATGGGCCAGGATGCAGTTGCAGAGCTGCACAGTTTGGTCGGTGGGGGGAGTAGGTGAAGGAAATGATGAGGGTCCAGTGGGGATCAGATGCTACAAAGGAATGACAAGCATTTTCCAATAGTAATTAAACCAACTGTCTTATTGATTTGGGAATTGGATGCCGACTCTCTGGCTTCTTCATGCTGAACAGAGGTGTAGATGTAAAGGGGGGAAGGGAGGATGCTTTATCACCTTACTGGTGGTCTTGGGTTACAGCTGCTTGCCTTCTTGCTCTGATTTATCCTATGAATTTGTGAACACTTTCTAGGGGTTTATGTGGGATGTGGCTGAGGAGATGAAAGCTATGCTGGTTTTTGCTGAACATCGATACTACGGAGAGTCACTCCCCTTTGGTGCCAACTCATTTAAGGTAAATGTCTATGTTTTGTTTTAGTTTAAATGTTTAGCTTAAAATTTTTATTTGGAATTGTAGAATTTTCTAATGATTATTGTGAGGGGGGAAAATTGATACTTTTCATTTGTTCTGCTTAAACTCTCCATATGTTTTACGTAATCTTTTATTTTAGATATAATTTGATGTGATTATTATTATTATTTCTAATGTAAAGTATTTCTGAACTCAGTGTGACAAGGTTATATATAGACACAAATCTTAATCCATGGCTTTAGAGAAAGTGCAGAAAACTGTAGTGTTTCAAAAAGGTCAGTGTCAATGTCATTTCTGTTCTATAAATTATTACACTTAATTTATTGTATCTTCTACAACAAATATATAATGAGCACTCAAATATTTGTTTTTAAGGCATTTTAAATAAAATGTATTCAATAAAATAAGGACAGGTAGTTGCTATGATTTGATGAGGGTCAGTGGCCACTTGAAATTCTTTCTGGCCTTTGCTATACCAACTAGGAGATTTGGCTGCAGATTCTGTATCTAATGAACTAGAAAACTTCTTTAACTGAGTTATTCGTATATTGTTTTTGTTGTTGTGTACTGTTGAGTAGAACAGACACCTAACTGAACCTCTAATGGTTTTCAGAGACAAAAAATTACATGGGAGGAGATTGCCCATCTTTCTCCCACAGAGCAATTGATGGATTCAAACCCTGTGCCTTTGAGATGGCAGTGAAACTCCTTACCACTAGACTATCAGAGCTCAAGTTATTCATAGACTACTTCTATAATGCTGGCTGTGTTTACTTGCCACATGTATTAACACTTAGTATTTTTCTTTAAATAACTCACAAGCAAGAATATTGGCAAAACTGAGGGCTTTATGTATCAGTTGTTTTTCCTACTTAATATTCAAGTAAAATGGTATTAAATTGAAAATGTTGATGTTCTAACTGTGATCATCTTACATACATACCATTAGTATATATAATATATATATCACTTGATATATATATTTTATATATATATATATAATCTCACATGGATTTGGCAAATTCTAAGTTAGAACTTGAGCTACTCAATTTCTAGGCTGCCTGTATTCAAAGGAGTTTTAATTTGTGTCTTTAGAGGCTTATAACTAATATAAATAAAAGGAAAGAAAATGTGTAATTTACTAATATTTTCCAGACTTAGTAGGAAATTCTTTTTTTAGTTTATTAATTAATAACTAGTTAGTGAGTTGATAGCTCAGGAATCGGCTTTTTACACATAGGAACATAATTCCCCTCCTGAGTCCCTGGGTTACATGGGTCGCTAGTAGTTAAATGCAATTATGATTCTATTTGATATGCTTCTTTTCTTTCATGTGCTCACAATATTTGCTAGTACCATGAGGGATGTTAAAACACTATGCAAGGATTAGGGTAAACCCCCCCACTTAACTATGCATCTTTATTGTATGCATCACATAAATTCCTACCCTTTAGAACAGCACAGCATTGCCTCATGGAGTTTCCAAGGTTGAAATCTTCATGGAAGCAGATCTATAGTTCTTTTCTCCCACAGAATGGCTGGTAGGTTCAAACTGCCGACCTTTACATTAGCAGCAGAACACGTTAACTACTATGTCACCATGTTGTTATGTGCCACTAAGTGGAACTGACTCATAGTTGACCCTCTCGAGAGTTTCAAATTGCATAGGAGATACTTTCTCATTTTTCTGCTGTGGATCAGCTAGTGGGTTAGAACCCACCAGACCTGGATTGTGGATGGGCAGCACAACTCCTTACAGAGATTAAAAAAGAGTGAGACATAATGAAAAAAGAGATACCAGAAGCATACCTTTGGTAAGGAGAAGACTAAATGAGTAGGTGATGTATGTTTTGAGAGCAGGTGTCCTATGGATGTATATTGAAAGAAGTAAAATGGGAATTGTGTGATTTAGGAACAACATGTCAAACAATGAAATGTGTCAAAAAGACAACTAAGACTAAAAGTGAAGATCAAACAGAGGATGATAGTCCAATATTGGTGGGTATCTGTGTTATTTATCTTGTGCTGAATAACAAATTACCTTACAATTTAGTGGCTTAAAGCAGCAGAAACCATTTACAACTTTGTGGGTGAGGAATTAAGAGTAGCATTACTAGGTGGTTCTGTTTCAGAGGGTCTCATTGACTGGTGTCTAAAGACTTGCTTGGGGCCGGGAGATCTATAAACTAATGCTTGATGTTGGCAAGAGGGGCCTGGGCTTCTTTCCCCATGACCTTCTTCAGGCCCCCCGTTGAGTGTGTGTGTTCATGGCATCGTACTAGCTTCCTCACAGTTAGTGACCTAGGAAAACAAGACCAAAGCTCTAATACTTTTTATGACCTAGACTTGGAAGTCACACACTTTCACTTCTGCCTTGTTTTCTTCATTAGAACAAAATCTCTAAGTGCAAAAGGAAGATAATTAGGTTTTACCTTTTGATGGAAGGAGTGTCAAGAATTTGTGGACTTACTTTAAAAATACCTCATTAGCCTGTTTAACTGAGCTCTCTTTTAGCTCTACCTGTTTTCTATACTACAATAGAAAAATTGTATCCAAACAAAGGACTAGATGAACCTGGCATTACTTTGTGCATTTTTCTTTTCTCTAGGATCACTGTATTAAGCTACTTGACCACAAATATCTTAAAGTAAATGTTCCATGTTGTGTTTCTCCTCCTGTCTTAGAGCAGGCAGGCTAATTTGTTTCAGTTTGTTGAGATGGTAGTATGGAATCTTTCTGATGATGAAGGATGAGTTATTTTTACTGAAAGTTTTTACCTTAATTTCCCACAAGATTTATTTTACCTTTGCCTTTTAGCCATTTTAAATGTATGAAGCTCTATATAGCAGTAGTCTCTTAATGTTTAGATTTTTTCCCCCAGCATCATTGCTGTTAAATGTTATTTATTTTGTTTTTATTATTTTTACAGCCCCAACCGGATCTTTAATATAGTATTTCATAGAATTTATTTTTGAATGCAAGATATGTTTTTAAACTTGAGACCATCTTTTTATGAGCTGTTAAAGTCAGCACTACTATTGCTGACTGGACATATTAGCTCAATTGCCTCAAAATTCTATTTGGAGAAAAGCTTATCCGACTCTGGCTCTTTCCTAGACCTGTGCTATGCTAAGCTGCTATTATGTACACACTTATACCCATGCTCTTTGTTATTTTTCTTTAGGATATCAGACACTTGAATTTTCTGACATCAGAACAAGCTTTGGCTGATTTTGCTGAGTTAATCAAACACTTGAAACAAACAATCCCAGGAGCTGCAAATCAACCTGTCATTGCACTAGGGGGCTCTTATGGAGGCATGCTTGCAGCATGGTTCAGGATGAAATACCCTCATTTAGTGGTTGGGTAAGCGTGTTTCTGTTGGTTGTGAGCACTTCTTAGTGACAAGACAAAGATACCTGTTTTGAGTAAAATATTTTCTGTTCTATTTAATGGAAATTTCCAATTTTTCCTCATCATTTTTGTTTACTCTCAGTTTCAATTTTAAACTTTGAATTAGATTAATTACATTTTCCCCCACCCCTTTTCATTTATATCTTACCGTTTAGCGCTCTAGCAGCCTCTGCACCTATCTGGCAGTTTGAAGATTTGGTACAATGTGGTGTGTTTATGGAGATTGTAACTAGAGACTTTCAGAAAAGTGGCCCACATTGTCCAGAGAGTATCCGGAGATCCTGGGGTGTCATTGATAAATTTGCAGCTACAAGTAAGTTTTAATCAGGGGCATGGAGTTAATGTGTGTGTTCCCCCCCTCCCATTTTTTACCTTCCATTTGTAAAATTCAACATTTTCCACATTTTAAATAAATTTTGTTAAAGTATACAATATATATGGCAAAGCACAATTATAAGAAGATATGGCCTGATGAATTTTCACAAATCAAATACATAGTGTAACCATTATCCAAATCAGAAGGAGAATGTCATTAGTGTCTCTGAAATCCTCTCATGCCCTTTCTGTTCACTCCCTCCTTGTTCACCAAGATAATCACTAACCTCACTTCTCAAACAACAGATTAACTAATTTTTCCTGCTCTTAATTTTTTACTAGTTAAAAATTGTATCCATACAAACTCATTGCCTTCAAGTCAGAACCAATTTATAGCTGACTCTATGGTGGGTTTTTAGATGCTGTAAATTACACAGTAGGAGAAGGACGGACAATCTCCTCATGTGCGATTAACTGCCTTGGACAACCTTCCAGAGGGTCAGCTATGGGTCAGTTCTGACTCAAAGTTACACAACAACATAACAACACATTGTACAGTAGGAAATTGCCCATCTTTCTCCCACGGAGGAGCTGGTATTCGGATTGGGGCCGTGCAATTCCTTACCCACTATACCACTAGAGCCCCCTTAAAATGGATTAATATGTATATTTTGTGTTTTCCGTCTTTTGGTCAACACTGTTAGTTCCATCCCTTTATTTGATTTAATTTTTGTTTATACATTCTCAGTGCTCTATAGTATTCTACTGAGTGAACATGCTTTAGTTTACTTCTGCTGTCCAGTTTCCTGATAGTGGACATTGGAGCTGTTTCTTATTTTGGGTATATGTATGGTGCTACTATAAATATTCTCATACATGTCTTCAAAACAACAGCCTTAAATCAAGTCTGATTCAGAGTGACTTTCCATTGGGTTTCTGAGCTGTAAATCACATGAAGAGACTACCCATCTTTCTCCTGGGAAACAACTAGTGGATTTGAACTGCTAATCAGTGTTCACAGTCTGACATGTAACAAATGACACCACCAGCTTTCCTTCTAATCACGTACAATTGGTTTTGCCTCTATGAGCATAAATGTGTTTAGTGGGTTTTGACAGTCACTGCAAACTAGTTTTCCAAAATTATTTTACTAAATTGATCTTCCATCTAAATTGACCTGTTTAGTATTTTAGTTGCTTTATATCCTCCCTAACACTAAATTTTTGTTGTTGTTTTGTTTTTACTGCTCTGGTGAATATGTTGTATGTGTTATTCAGTTGATTTTGACTCATAATAACCCTATATAACAAAAGCAAGTTTCTCTATAAGGTCTCTAAAGCTGTAATGTGATATAATGTATTAGGTGTTGTGCTGCTATCTAAAAGCTCAGTGTTCAAATCCCCAGCTACTTCGAGGGAGAAAGGTAGACAGTATCATCCCATAAAGATTTACAGCCTTAGGGAGCTCTGGTGGCCTAGTGTCAAGAAGCTGCACTGTAATCTCAGAGGCACTCAGTTCAAATCCACCAGAGGCTCTCCTGGAGAAGGAAGGACAGTCTCCTCTTGTACCAGTCAGATCCGATTTGACGGTACACACACACACACACACACACACACACATAAAATAAAATTTCATAAAAAAATAAGAAAAAAAAGATTCACCACCTTGGAAACCAGATGAAGGGTTGCCAAAATTGGAATCCATTCAATGGCAATGGGTTTTAGTCGTTAGGGCAGCACACTTTCCTTAGTGGTTATGAAGAGGTATGCGATTACATTTTAAATTTGACTTGCCTAACGATGGATGAAATTAAGCACTTTTGAATATTTTATTCTGATAATTATTTAAATAAAATAATCAAGTGTTCATTTGGGTATTTTATTTTATGGAATAACTTTAACCTCTTGGCCTATTTATTTATTTTTTAATTTTTAAAAACAAATTTTGTTTGCCTCTGCCTTACTGATTTTAATACAAATCAAATAAAAACTAGAAAGTTCTTTTTATATTATTTCAAAATTTACACATTATTATTTTTTTAAAAATTACAGTTGAATATTGTGCCTCAAAAAAAGGGAAGGATAGCTCAGAATATGATTCTAGTAAGATCTGTGACATGTCTATTATAAGATTATCCAGTTTTTAAAAAAATTAATATTGAAGAAGCATTTTGGGTTAAACAGAAGATAAAGTTTTCTTTTCTTTTAAAATTTATTTTATTTTATTATTTTTGTGTGCATGTACCATCAAATCAGATCTGACTGGTACAGGAGGAGATTGTCCCTCCTTCCCCAGCAGAGCATCTGGTGGATTCGAACCGTGTGCCTCTGGGATTGTAGTTGCAGCTCCTTGCCACTAGGCCACCAGAGCGCCCCAAGATAAAGTTTTCTAAACTACTAAGTTAGGGATAATTGATCTATAAAGCCCTCTGCTGATTAGTACTTTTTAGAATTAATTCTGAGCCATGTAATTCCATTCTTAGGCAGTGGTTTGCAGTGGCTTTCTGGAACCCTCCACTTATGCAGCTCATTAGGAGATTTTCAAGACGTCAAGATGTTGAAAGATTGGATTTCTGAAACCTGGGTGAACCTGGCAATGGTGGATTACCCTTATGAATGTAACTTTTTACAGCCTTTGCCAGCTTGGCCTATTAAGGTAACACAAAGCCCTTTTATTTGCTTTTTTTTTTAAAAAAAAAAAATAAGGATGTGTGTGTGTGTGTCTTTTTAGTTTGTGTGCATTCTTTGACTTTCAGTATCAAAGAAAGGTGTAGGTATGGGAGTTCTGGAGTTAGTTAAACCTGGGCTGAAATCCTGGGTTCAATTACTTTTTTGGTTTTACAACCTTGAATATTTACCCAAGTTCCTCAGTTTTATTATTAGGAAAATTATTATAAAGTGTTTAAATTGAAAGAGTTGTATGGATTAAAATGAAGAATAATAGTTGCTGTGAATGATACATAATTAAATTGTGTCAAGTCCTGCTCTGTGTATTTCATACATGTAATTTATTTGCTTCCATGTTACATGTAACATATCTAGAGCTATGTAACTCATGGTCAATGCTTAATAAATGGAAATTGTTATGAGAGTAATATGATTAAGTATGGAGAAGCGATTTGTGCACAGGGTAGTGGAGGAGAAAGACTACTTGCATTCTAAAGGTGAGGATCCAGAACTGTCATTTATTGGCTGCCTGTATGATTTTGGATAAGGTGGTCGTCTTCCCTATATTCCTCTGTGGAATAGAATAACACTACTTATGCACCTGGATGGGGTTGAGGTGAGGATCAAATATCTTTTTAGATGTGAACGTATCCCAGAAAGTAAAAAGGACATCTTAAGTTTATTTCCATGTCACAATGCTTTAATGTGTATGCTCTTTTTAAGAAATATATGATTAAGTATAATTTTCATGATAAGAGTTTAGAATGAAAGCTGCATAGTAGAGTGGACTGGGGGACTGGAATGGATAACGAAATAATTTTTTTTTTTTACTTTTCAAAGAGAAAAGTGAACTGGGGCGGGGCGGGGGGTGGAATGGGCAGAGAGGAAAGTGTGCAACAATGAATGAATGGAAATCCAAGGTGTCTGTAAAGTTTCATTAAAATAAATGTTAAAAAAGAAATATCTTAGAATAAATTTCCTGTTGGTTTTAAACACAAAGTTTGGGCAACTGATGGCTAATGGACATAGAAAATATAATTGACAGTGAAACCAACTGTGTATAACTGTCAGTGCAACTGACAGTGTTGTTCTTTGCTGTCAAATCAGAATCAACTAATAATTGACCTTCCTTCAGGTTTTCAGAGGCAATAAATTGTACAGGAGGAGATTGGCCATATTTTTCCTGTGGAGCAGCTGGTAGAATTGAACCACAGTATAGTTGACAGTCTAGTTCCTTACCCAATAGACCACTGGCATTCTCTGTAACCAGCAAGAATACTGGGGAAAAAATATTAAATTAGTGATATAAAACCTGGATTACAAGAGTATTTTTACTTTAATCGTTCCTTTGAGCTTTTAAGGATATACATCACTTGAAACTTTGTGACCAAAGATGATAAGTCCTTTTGCTATTAGAATAATTTTTCTTCATCCAAAAGGTAGAATGATCTATAAGTGTCTTTCCATAGTAGGCTGGGGGTAGAATATATGTTGAATGAACTTGAATTTTGACAATACAGAGAAAATTCTTAAAAAGAGCAGGTAGCGTTATTTCATCCTATAAAGTCTGAATCAAAGCAATGAGGGGATACTAAATGGAAGTCTCTTTAAATATTTATGTGCTATATTACCTGGCAAAGGAGATACCATGATCACAAAGGTGAACCCTGGGCGAGGCTTATCCATTGCACTCTGAATATGCTGACCCCTGCAGTTTCTTCAAATGTGGGGAAACTTGACTGCATAGTTTATGGTAGTGGGGAACTGCGTTCATGCTTTCCCCTAAGGAAAAGAAAAAAATGTGCTAATTATGCTGCATCCTTCATTTTATTTTATTATTTACAGAACTTTTTTTACCTATTTGAGCTCATCTATTTATAATAAAATTACTAGGAGGGAAACAATATACTATCAGTTGTACAGAGGGGAAATGAAATTCAACTAAGAAATAGTGGAAGTTTGGATTTGAGTCTGCCATTGTGCCAGAGTCTGCAGTGTAGCACTGAATTAGAAGGAGATTTGACAGATAATTTATCTGGGTTGATTGCTTCTCAAAATATGAAAGTTATGCTCACCAAGTTGTGTCAAGAAATCTGGAGAACAAATTGTTTAAAAGGTATATACGATTAGGTATTATTGTCATGACATGAGTCCAGAACGAAGGCTGCGTAGTGGAGTGGACTTGGGGGGAGGAATGTATAACAATGAAAGAATTTTTCTTTTACTTTTCAAAGAGAAGAATGAACTGGAGGGAGTTGGGCTGGGAGAAAAGTGTAACAATGAATAAATGAAAATCCAAAATCTCTGTAAATTTTCATTAAAATTAATAATAAAAAAAGGAAAAAAATAAAAGAAATCTGGAGACCAACCATTTGGCCGACTGACTGGAAGAGTGATCCGACACAATGTTGAAATTATCAAATAGTATCATTAATACCACATGCAACAAGAGTCTGCTGAAGATTATCCAAAACTACTGGAACAGCACATCAACAGAGAACTACCAGAAGTACAGTTGTGTTTAGATGGGGTTGTGGTACCAGGGATATTGTGGCAAATATTCGATGGATCGTGGCTGAAAGCAGGGAGTACCAGAGAAATATCTATCTGTGTTTCATTGACTATGCAAAGGCATTTGACAGTGTGAACCATAACATACTGACTAGAGAAGAGAACTGTGTGAGAAGAATGGGAATCCAAGAACACTTGATCGTGCTACTGCAAAACCTATACTTGGACCAGGAGGCAGTGGTCAGAACAGAGCAAGGAAACGCTGCATGGTTCAAAATTGGGAAGGGTGTACAGCAGGTATGTATCCTATCTCTGTACCTTTTCGACCTGTATGCAGAATAGATTATCTGGGAGGCTGGGCTCTATGAGGAGAAATGTGGCATCAGAATTGGAGGAAGACACATCAACAACCTGCGTTGTGCATATGACACAACCCTGCTTGCTGAAACTGAGGAGGACCTG